GTGAATCTTATTAGTTTGTGATCATCGCCTTAAAATATTTTTGGGTTAAATTTATTTTTGCTACGGATGACGAACTTCAGCTTGTGATAAAAACAATTGAAACGCGTCTTCTCGCCAAAGAGTGAGCGGGCCGTGGTAGCTCAGGGGCTAAGCGCTCGCTTTAAATTTCACAGTACGCAAGCAACCTGAAATCAATTCCCGCCGGCACCAATGAAATTGTTAATTGCAATTTTAAGTGCTGATTTACCACGTGCTCAGCGTTGAAGGAAAACATCGTGAGGGACCTATCTGAGAAATAAGAAATAACATTTTTCGAAGACATGTGAAACTCACCAGCACATATTAGGGCAGCGCTGCGGACATTTTCTTGCCCTAAAATCCTCTAAATCAGAAATGAGAGACGTAACACAGGCTGTAACTTTTCTCGCCAAAATGATTACGATCATAAAATGAGTTTCCTGTTGATGATGAATGAGTATCCCACGACTTTACGTACGCAGACGCCTGCTATTAAATTAATAACAAACCGCTGCGAAAAGCCCGTCTACCCTCCAACAGCGCAACCAATCGCTGATCACCGTGAGGTGTGGTTTGTTATTAATTTAATAGCAGGTGGCTGTGTACGTCAGGTAGTGATTGGTCGCATGTTTTATTGCTTGATGCAGTCGCTTGCTGCTTAAGTAGGGAGCGGTTGCGTCGGCGAGCTGTAAAATAGAAGCTGTTTTTAGCTCGCCGCTCACTTAGCAGTCAGCCACCGCAGAATCAACTACATCTGAAGATACCTCGTGTACAGGCGAAACTTGTGACGTATTTTCGTCAGTGGTGTGTCTTTACTAGTTTGGTGTTAACGAGGATAGTGCACGCAATTTAGGAAGAGCGGGAGGTACTCTTCAAACTAGGTAATACACATTATTTTATTTTATTTAGCGGTCATATAGTGGATATCATATCGTCGGGCATTCTGCTATCATCTCTAAATATTCCACGAGGCTCTAAAACCGAGGGAACATTTATACAGACAAGAGCCCTTCGGAGGACATCGTTCAAAGAACCGTGCCGTGAAAAACTACCATCAATTTTCTTACATGAATGTACGTGGAGCCGAAACTTCTCGACGCTGCTACCACAGGGGTACTGATGGGTTAACAAATTTCCACTGCTAGTCGAATTCCTGCGATGTGCAAGCTTCCACTATCAAATAATGTGCCAAGATTACTTGATGGTAAAGCGTGTAACCAGTGACTAGATTTCTTAGTCCAAACAGCTAGAAGGCGTGCCTGATCTTGGTCACTATGGAAGTTATGAAACAAATATTTCTGCACGGCTTGTAAGAACGGAATAAACCACTGTTTTTGTTGATTACCTTCCAGTGGAACATTTTCGCCGCGACAGAGCGTCCGCCATGTCTGCCCTGCCTCCTTAGCATAGCACAGGTCTACTGTATTATATAAAATTATGTTACATAAGTCGCTGATACAAAGCAAGGAAAGCAGGCAATGCAACACCAGAAAGATTTTTCACACCAATACCACCAAATTTCATAGGCTAAGTAGCTTGAGCCCAAGTTGTTTTATTTAAAGTTAAATTTAGAATTCTTTCTAAAGCTTTTTTAAGATTATTATCAATATCTTTTAAAATATCTTAACATTTCCAGACTGGATTTAAGCAGAGTAAGTTTGTAAATCTAGGTACAAGGAGACAATATTTTAAAATAGTAAGAGCAATGTGGTGGTTTAAGTTATTTAAGTTATATTGTATAACAAAAAAAAATTAAAAGTGGTTTATAAACTGATCAAATTTTGTTCTTAAAACTGGTTTACTACGTCATATATATTATATAGATAATATTGATACCATTAGGTATCCAAGTAGTTTTTAAAATGACGACCACGACTTTTTGTACTACCAGGGTGCCACTTATATATAAATATTTGACAGATTTATTAGTTTTGTCAGAAAAGTGTAGAGATTAACGTTTCTTTCTGAAATATTAGCTAAGTATATTTTTTATTAATTAGATTAAAATGGATAAACCAAACTGTGGATATTTCTAAAAGTAAAGGACTTAAAAAGAGAGTTAAAAATGTCCAAAAAATGTTATATAATTGTACTGTTTAGGAATAAATATACAATAAAATACGAATTACGTAGCAGGCAGTTTAATCGCTCAAAGCAGACTGACAATTCTTTCCCTACCCGCTTATATTATTATATTATCACTCTTTAAATACATCACAGTTCCCTCCACCAATAGTACAGAATTATATAATAAAATGTAAACTAAACTTTATAAATAGGATTCTTATTTCTAGTAGAACGGACACCCCTTGAATGCTCTGTGACAGTCTGGTTGGACGTGGCCTGTACAGAAACAGATTCTGGAAGAGCTGAGTCTGTTAAGACATTACCAACCGCACTAACCGTATCACTCGGCCCAACGCTAACGATCCTCTCCTCCCCTAGTTCTAATTCCGGGGGCAATAGACCGCTACTTGAGGAATCGTTCATAGAATGAGTACATTGTAAGGTATTTTGAACATTTTGTTCTTTCACTGTATCCCGAGCAGTTCCAGAAGGTGTATAATAATCTATGACGTCATTATCGGTATAAGAAATATCCGTATTTACGTCATCTTGTAATGTACAATTTCCTTTATAAGCTATTAGATGATCAATATGTTTTTTTAAACTTTTACATGATTTTTCAATTTTTACCACATACATTCTAGAGCCAACTTTCTTAACTATTCTTCCAAGTTTCCACACATGCTTGGAACCATTATTATAAAAACACTTAACTAATACTTTATCGCCAATAGCAAAAGAAGTTGTACGACGGCCCCCATACTGCTTACATTGAGAGATCTGTTGAGACAAAACATTTTTTTTTACGGCGGATGTCGATGACAGCGGTAACGATTCAGTAGTGACTGATAACAGGTCGAGCCGACACCGCAAGGAGCGCCCTAACATTAATTGAGCTGGAGAAAAACCGGTAGTGCAATGCCGACTGTTCCTATAATCAAATAAAAATTTATTAATTTTTTTTGAAATAATTTGATTATTTAATCCATTTTCCTCTATAATTAATTTGATTCCTCTTTTTACAGTTTTAACGCTATTTTCTGCTTGCCCATTTGATTGGGGATGATAAGGCGCGATAGTCAAATGTTGTATTCCATTAGAAACAAAAAAATTATTTATTTCATCAGAACAAAAATTTGTGGCATTATCCGATACTATGGTTTTTACTAATCCAAACCGACTAAATATCTTACATAGCTTAGTAATAATAGCCTCACTATTGGTACTAGTAAGTTGGTAGCATTCTACCCACTTAGAATATGCGTCGACTGCAATTAAAAAGTTCCTACCATATAACGAAAAAATGTCTATATGCAAACGATCCCATACCTGTGCCGGGTAGGGCCAGGAAGCAAGAGGTGTGCGCGGAGGTGCGTATCGAAACTTATTACACACTGAACACGACCCTATTTTTTCCTCAACATGCCTATCTATATGTGGCCACCACATCCGGGCTCTGGCCTGCTCTTTGGTTTTTACCACGCCAAAGTGTGAAGAATGTAGTTCGTTTAATAGCTGCTCGCGGAATATTGACGGTATGATTACTTTGTGGCCCCGCAGGATACAACCATTTTCTAGGGCTAACTCTGACCGACAATTAAAATATGGCTTTAATAAGGGATCTGACACTTTCCGAGGCCATCCGTTACGCATAAACTCTAACACTTTTATTAAAAGATTATCACGGGATGTTTCTTTTTTTATATCTTCCACAGTTATTGGTTTTAAAACTGAGTTATCTATAAAATTAATATACAATGTTTTATCAAGATCCGAGCATTCATTATCAATTTCGTTCTGTAATTGATTTACAGATCGCGATAAGAAATCAGCCACATTGCTGTCACTTCTAACATACTCTAATGTGAAATTATAGGCAGATAAAAAGATCGCATACCGTTGAAGCCGATTAGCCGCCATGTCAGGTATACCCTTTTTGTTTCCGAAAATGGTTAGTAAGGGCTTATGATCCGTCCTTAGGATAAACGGTTCGGCCATACAAATAATGGTGGAATTTTTTTATTGCAAATATAATAGCGGTGGCTTCCTTTTGGATTTGAGCGTAATTGCATTCCGCCCGAGTGAGTGAACGCGAGGCATAGGCTACGACGCGTTCCGTGCCGTCAGGCTGACGCTGCGCGAGCACCGCGCCGAGACCGCTCGGACCCGCGTCTGCCGTCACTATAGTCGGCAGCGACGCGTTGTAGTGAGCCAGCACTCGGTCAGACGCTAGTTCTTTTTTTATCAATTCGAACGCCTTGTCATGCTCCTTACTCCAGTTCCATTTTTCCACCTTTTTAAGTAAGGAATGCAAAGGCCTAAGTAATGCAGATGTATTCGGCACAAAACATCTATAATAATTAATCATGCCTAGAACTGACTTTAACTCGCTTACATTTTTAGGTCTACAGCATTTTAATATAGCATCTACTTTCTGTTTTGATTTTCGGAGACCCGTTTTATCGATAATAAAACCTAAATATTCAACAGAGTCTTTAAATAGTTCACATTTCTCTGATTTTAACCGTAACCCTGCATCCTGTAACCTACTTAATACTTGCTCTAGACGTTCCATATGTACTGCTTTTGTGGGGCCCGTAACCAAAATATCATCAAGAAATATACCCGTACCCTCTATACCCGCAAGTAAATTCTCCATAGTTTGTTGAAAAATGCTCGGCGCAGAACACAAACCAAACACTAATCTGGTGTACCTAAATAATCCTTTGTGAGTATTTATACAGGTTAATTCTTTCGTGTCATCTAAAGACAACTGATTGTATGCTCTAGAAAGGTCCAATTTCGAAAATTGTTCTCCCCCGTGAAGTTTAGCAAACAAGTCCTCAATGCGCGGCAACGGATAGTTATCCATAAATAAAACTTTATTCAATGTTACTGAAAAGTCGCCACATATTCTAATATCCCCGTCTGATCTTAAAACTGGGACAATGGGCGTGGCCACCCTTGAGTGATTCACTTTTTCTAAGATACCCAAGTCTAGTAAACGATTCAACTCTTTTTCCACTTTTTAAAGCTAAAGGTACAGGACGTGGTTTAAAAAATTTTAGCTCGGCGTCGCATTTCAATTTTAAGTGAATTTTAAACTTATTAAATGTTCCTAATTCACTTGAAAATAGCTTGGCATATTTTTCTCTTAATATACTGTCATAATTTGTGTTGATGGTCAGGTTGTTGCAATTCGCTGTACATAACTGTAAATTAAAAGCGCTTATAAAGTCCCGCCCTAATAGTGCTGGTTGCTTATTATTTGTTTGAATAATAAATAACCTAATGTGTTCAATACGTGACTCGTACGTAACGGGTACCGTTATAAAACCTACAGGAGAAATTTTGCTACCATTATAGCAATTTAGTATTACTTTGCTTTTATTTAGGTTATAAATATTCTTAAAATAGTTTTCATAAACTCTAAATGGTAATATCGACACTGCACTACCACTATCAATTTCACAAACCAAGCCAGTCTCACCTATGAAAACCATGTGGCGCATCGGCTCGCCGTTATTACACTTAATAGTAAATAGATCATAAATACCTTGAACGATGTCATCGTCATTCGCCGCGATATAGTTATTAGGTTTAATTAAAGATTTACACATTCTACGAAGATGCCCTTTTTTATGGCACTTCTTACATGAATAACTCGAAAATCGACACTGATCTTTGCTATGATTTGAGTAACCACAAACACTGCACTTGTTTACACCACGGGAATGCATCGCGAACACATCCTGAGGAGATGCGGGAACGCCTAGTTGTGAGGTGACGCTAGTGCTCTGCATAGCGAATCTCGCACACCGCACACTCTGTGCCAGCTCCAGGGCCCTGCTAAAGGTCAAGTCCATGATACTCTCGGCAAATAACTTTTCTCTCTCCTTTACGTTTTCCAAACCCAGGACAAAACGGTCTCTCATTGCCGTCTCCAGCTCAAAAGTAAAGCCGCAGTACTGAGACAGGCTACGCACCCGCGCGGCCCACTCCGCCAAGTCCTCGCCAGGTCGCTGCTCTGCTCGATAAAACTTGTATCTCTCCGCAAATGAACATTTTTTTGTGACAAAATGTACACTTAACTTTTCTAGTAGTACTTTGTACTCTATGTTTTCTAATTCAGTTGGGAAGGCAAGATCTCTTGCCACCCGATACGTATCTTCCACCAGCGCAGTTAGTAACAGGGCCCGTCGTTTCACACCAGACTTATCCGATTCCTCGGTGATGTTATTCGCAGTACAGTACTGCTGAAAACGACTTTTGAATATATTCCACTCCTGTACGCGGTGGTCGAAAATAAGACTGCCGCCAATATTAACGTTTCCGCCATTTGCCATCTTTATCCAATCGACTTAATTTATATCACTGTAAGTCCAAACAACTTTAATACGCGTGAATTACTATATCGTCGCCAAATTGTACTGTTTAGGAATAAATATACAATAAAATACGAATTACGTAGCAGGCAGTTTAATCGCTCAAAGCAGACTGACAATTCTTTCCCTACCCGCTTATATTATTATATTATCACTCTTTAAATACATCACAATAATTTTATATGTTTATTCAAAAATCCCAAATTTTCGCTATCAATATTATCTAAATTGTGTAACAATAAAGCAGAAGCAGACGAATTTCTCTATAAATACGTAAAATGGTTAAAGCACTTTAGTGCAATGACAATATAGTAAAATAATATCATTTTTTGTACACAATATCCATTAAAGTTGAATTTTTCCAAAAAATAACGAATAATTTTGACAAATAAAAGTCAATTTTAATTTTTGATTTCATATAAGTAACAGGTACACAGTACTGTGTAAGCCCTTAGGTTTTTTTGGTAATTAAAATTTAGTAGTGTATTATAAAACGAAAATCAATCAATTGTATTAGAAATTCCGAGCCCATACTCTCTAGCAACTCTCGTCTTGCTCTCATGAATTTTAATGACTTTCCATTAGCTTTATCATTTTAATTTTTATGGCCACTTACGAAATCGTAACAGTTTTGAAAAATAAAAATATGTATTCTACTGAAAAGATGTAAAGCGACTGTAGTGGCTGTCTTTTATTATTGTTCAAATATTGTATAAGTGTATACAATATTTGAACAATAATAAAAGCAACATAAAAGCAATAACAGCAACCGTGGTCACGGGGGATCCCCCGTGACCACGGTTGCTGGAAAGCAACCGTAACGTCGGGAATATAAAATAAGTTAATTAAACGCGATAAAATCCGTAAAAATAGTTTTATTCAATGTGTAGTGTTCGCGTAAATATAAGAAATCATTATGTACCTATCTTTGTCATATTTTGCAAAATTTCTCCAAAACGGCACAAGTTTTTTAAATAGTTGTTACACTAGAAAAAAGGTCCTAAAAATATTAATACTTTTAATTGAGAGTTTTATTTTTATTCCCCGTTTTATAAGAGAATATATCATTTTTCCCTGAAATTGAATATATTTACGTGAGCGCGCATGCTCCGTCGCCCTGTCGCAGTCCGTTTTCGGACATCGTCGAGTGTGGACTGCGCGTCGGTGTTGGAGCGACTTCGTTCAAATATATATTAGTTTTTTAAAGGTTTATACTCAATTATAAATATTTTTATAACTAGAAATACTTAATTTAGTTAATATTCGATTTCGATAGTTTTAATAACTATGTAATTTTATTGTTGCATATGTTTATTAATTAGTTGATACTGAATTTTATAATTATGTATTACAATAAAACGCTGTTTATATAAGTATGACTTTATAAAATATTATTGGGGAGGGAAATATAGATACAGATACTTACATTTAGGTACACTGTTATCAAATTAAATCAATCAAATAAATAATAAAATGGTGCTTTCCTAAGTATAAATAACTATATAAAGACATTCCTGGGTTTATGATTTTTTTTATGTTAGACAAACTATCATATAAAAAATGTAAAAATTTTAAATTGGAGAGGGGTTTCTCTACGTGATAAAGTTAGAAATGAAGATATTGGTAGTAGAACCAGAGTAACTGACATAGCCCAACGGAATATTAAAGTGAAATGTCAATGGGCTGGCTATATAACTTTGAAAACCGATAAAAAATAGGAAGAAAGGTTCTCGAACGGAAACCTCGTACAGGTAAGCGAAGTAGTAATCAACCTTTCTTCACGTATTCTCATACGCTTTTCTTCACACATACACACACACACACACACACACACACACAAAAAATTACCCTGTGAAAGTATGCATTTAGATATAATTTTTTAACCAACCATAAAAATATGATGAGAATATGTATATAAGTATAAAGGTTACCTTACACGGGACATTAATAATATAATATAACTTCCATTATCTACGCATGAAATTTTTTAAAATCTCTGAATCCCGAGGTATGTCCTTATTAAGAGGCTGAATAGAGCCACATTGATATGCATGGGGATCGTTTTGTAATTTCACGTCATTATCGAAAAAACATTGTACGTATTTCAGGTGGCGGTTTGCAAAACACGATTCCACAAAAATTCACTCAATAGAAAATAATTGCAAAGTTGCTTCTGAAAATACTTTAATTATCAACGTCAATTTTTTCTTACGTGGTAGAGCCATGCTGCAGCTATATTAGTAGTAGGTATAGTTGTAGCACGAATGGGTCGGCTCGACCGGGGAAGGACCACGCTCTCACAGAATACCATGTAAAATAGCAGTTTAACCATGCTGCGTTTGATCAAAGAGCGAGTCTTATCCGACACTATTCCGAAGATATCCGGGACGTCAGGCTAAGCGAGATTAGAATGGCACCTTTAAAACGGCAAGTCCCCGGACGAGGATGGGATTACAGCGGAGCTTCTGAAAGCGGGTGGAAAACCGGTACTTGAAGTCCTTTAGAAGTTCTTTAGTTCCGTCCTCCATGGTGGCACTACTCCGGAGGCGTAGAGCAGAAATGCGGTGGTCTTGTTCTTCAAAAAAGGCGACAATGCTCTCAGGCTTGACGACTTCCAGCCTCCCGAACAAGCCGGTTTCCGAAAGGGCTTTAGTACCGTAGACCAGATACACACCATTCGGCAAATTGTACATAAGACAGAGGATTATAATCTGCCACTTTGCCTTGCGTATGTGGACTATGAGAAAGCATTTGATTCCGTCGAAATTTGGGCGGTGCTGCAGTCCCTTCAGCGGTGCCAAGTTGATATCGAAGTACTGAAGTATTTGTACAGTAGAGCTACGATGGCTATCCGAGTACAGAATCAGAGTACGAAACCTATCCAACTGCAGAGAGGTGTAAGACAGGGTGACGTTATATCCCCTAAACTCTTCACCGCTGCATTGGAAGCCGTTTTCAAGCTTCTGGACTGGAAAGGATGCGGTATTAATATCAAGGGCGGGTACATCACTCACCTTCAATTTACCGAAGATATTGTCCTTATGGCAGAATCGTTAGAGGACCTAAGCACTATGCTAAATGACCTCAATAGTGTCTCTCAACGGATAGGTCTTAAGATGAACATGGACAAAACAAAAATCATGTTTAACGTCCATGTCATACCTATGCCGGTAGTTGTATGGAGCACTAAGCTCGAAGTTGTTGTAAATAAGCTTCCTATTGATGATGAATGAGTATTCCACGACATTATGTACGCAGACGCCTGCTATTAAATTAATAACCAACCGCTGCAAATCCTCCAACCGCGCAACCAATTGCTGATCACCATGAGGTGCGGTTTGTTATTAGTTTAATAGCAGGCGGCTGCATACGTCAAGTGGTGATTGGTTGCATGTTTTATCGGATGTCGCAGTCGCTCGCTGTTTAAGTGGGGAGCGGTTGCGTCGGTGAGCTGTATAAATAGCTGCTGTTTTTGGCTCGCCACTCACTTAGCGGTCAGCTACCGCATAATCAATTACATCTGAAGATACCTCGTGTACAGACGAAACACGTGTCGTATTTTCGTCAGTGGTGTGTCTTTACTAGTATAGTGGTAACGGGGATAGTGCACGCAATTTAAGAAGGGCGGGAGGTGTTTTTCAAACTAGGTAAGATACATAATTTTATTTTATCTAGCAGTCATATAGCGGGTGTCATATCCGACAGTCTCGTGCCATCGTCTCTAAATATTCTACAAGGCTCTAAGACTGAGGAAACATTTATGGAGACCAGAGCCCTTTGGATGATATCGTTCAATGCACCGTGCCGTGAAAACCCACCAGCACTTTTCTTACATGAATGTCCGTGGAGCCTAAATTTGTCGCTACCACAGGGGCACTGATGGGGTTGACAAATCGCCGGTCATAGTTGAATTTTTATGGCGATGCGCAAGCTTTCCCCATCAAGTAATGTACCAAGATTACTTGATGGTAAAGCGTGTAACTAGGTTCCCTAGTCCAAACAGCTAGAAGACGTACCTGATCTTGGTCACTCTAGAAATTATGAAATAAATCTTTCTGCACGGCCTGTACCAACGGAATATTCCACTGTTTTAGTGGATTACCTTCCAGTGGAACATTTTCGCCGAGACAGAGCATTCGCCATGTCTGCCCTGTCTCCGTAGCATAACACAGGTCTAATTTATTATATAAAGTTGTGTTACATTAGTCACTAAAACTATACGCGGAAGCAAGGAAAGCAGGCAATGCAGCAACAGAAAGATTACTCACACCAATACCACCAAATTTCATAAGTTAAGTAGCTTGAGCCCAAGTTGATGTTTTTAAAGTTAAATTTATAATTTTATCTGAAGCTATTTTAAGATTATTATCAATATCTTTTAAAATATCTGAACATTTCCAGACTGGATTTAAGCATAGTAAGTATGTAAATCTTGGTACTAGGAGACAATATTTTAAAATAGTAAGAAAAATGTGGTGGTTTAAGTTATACAATATAACAATAAAAGTGGTTTTTAAACTGATCAAATTTTGTTCTTAAAACTGGTTTACTACGTCATATGTATTATAGAGATAATATTAATACCATTAGGTATCCAATTAGTTTTTAAAATCACGACCACGACTTTTTGTACTACCAGGGTGCCACTTATATATAAATATTTGACAGATTAATTAGTTTTGTCAGAAAAGTGTAGAGATTAACGTTTCTTTCTGAAATATTAGCTAGGTATATTTTTTATTAATTAGATTATAATGGATAAACAAAACTGTGGATATTTCTGAAAGTAAAGGACTTAAAAAGAGAGTTAAAAATGTCCAAAAAATGTTTTATAATTTTATATGCTTATTCAAAAATACGAACGTTTCGCTACCAATATTATCTAAATTGAGTAATAGTAAAGCAGAAGCAGCCGAATTTCTCTAACAATACGTACAATGTTTTAAGTACTCTTGTGCAAA